ATTTTTTATTAATCAATTATCCAAAGCAGTGTGATCTGCTGGATAAAATGTTTATGGGGATTCCATGACTTGGATTCTGCACTTGGATCTCTCACTGTCGTGCTGGACAAGCCACATTCCCTCACTGTTCTCAGTTCCCTCTACCTACACTGCTTTAATTTTTTAGTTTTAAGTTTTAATTATTTAGAACAACCCTTTCCTGTTAACATGTGTCTCTGCAGTACAGATGAAGGCCCAACACTGAAATTATTTGTAGGTTTTCTGGTTGAGTAAATTACAACCAGGCTAAGCCAGAGGAGCATCCCCAGATTTTGGTGCCAAACACCATTGAAGAACCCCAAATCATGCTGAACAATTTTTTTTTCTCTCTTTACAATCTCCAAATTCTCTGTTTCTATCCCACATGGAGAAGATTTCCTGCAGAAGGAACTGAGGCAATCTGTCTGGCACTTCATTTGCATTCAGAAGATCTGGTTGTGTAATCCCTGTCCTGCTGAGGCTGCAGTTCCAGGGCTGCACCTTTGTCCGAGGAATTTCCATGTGGGGAAGATCCATTTGTGCATCCCAGAGCTGTCACCTGAACGTGCCCTGCTCCCACCTCCAAAAATGGCACTCACAAATGTGGTTTATGCCCTGAAGCCCTTCCATTACCCTGAAATGCAATTTATTAAGAGGAAAGATGTTCTGTTGCAGTTGGGTTCGTGTTGATGACACCAGAGAGGATTCTCTGCAGTGAGAATTCCCAAAAATGCAAAACAAAGGGACAAGCAGGGAAGCTGTGTCCTGACTGCTGAGGAGGTGCTTAATCTCCTTTTGGTGTCCATGCATAAGGATTAATCTCCAATGCATATCTGATGTTTAAAAAAGGGATTTTCAGAGCTCTCTAAATGCTGCCCCACCAAACCCAGATGCTGTTTGCATTCCCAACAGGAATCAGGACAATGAAAAGCCTTCATGGCCCTGCCTGGCCTCACCTGGGGCTCCAGCACCTCTTATTTATTTAAACTGTCTGTCTAGGAGTATCATTAGTTGTTTTGTGACTAGGTTGATNGTGAGCGGGGCCCCTCAGGCAGCCCCGACCCTGGCCCGGGGCTCACACCGGGGCTGCCAAGCTCTGCCTCCCGCCATTGCGGTGTCCTCACCGCCTCTCCTTCCCAAACGCCAGTCCTGGTGACAAGGAGAAGCTCAGGGTTTCAAGTCTCAGGGTCATGGAGTCGTTAAGGCTGGAAAAGATCTCCACGATCATCAAGTCCAGCCTTCGACCTCCGTGCCCAAGCTCTCCAGAAAGTGTTACTGCTAACAAGAGTTTGTTTTGGACACACAGCACTGCTTGCTCCCACAGAGGAGGCTGCATTAGCTGACTGACAAGTCAGATCCAGTGTCCATCCATAACCGTGGTATATTTATCTGGGATTTGGCACAGGGAGCCATCCTAGGCACTTTGTTTTATCCCCATGGGGCTCCTCTGACCCTTGGCAAGCTCTGCTCAGAGTCAGAGCACAGTGCTCCAGCCATGAGGATTTCCCTCTTATCAGGGTTTGTCTCACACCAACAAAACCACCATAGATGAGGTCTATGAAGTATCTACAGAGGCAATTTGCAAGTTATAAACTTCCCAGGGTGATAATTGAGTTTAACTTCACATTCTGAGGAGTGTTCTGGCCAATGCAGATAACAGTGTCAGTGTGATCCCTTGAACAGTGATTTCAGTCCTGAGCAACACTTAAAATAATAAAAATGTGATAAAATAATCACATTGTTCCTTCAGTGGTGAACATAAGTCCATGGAATCACAGAGTGGTTTGGTTGGAATATTGAGCACATGTAAGAACACACAGTCACCAACCTACCATGGTCCTTGTGGGTCTCTTCCAGCCCTGGTTATTCTGTGAAACCTTTGAAGCAGAAATCATTTCCTCTCATGTTTGACTGCCCAGAAAACCATGTGATTGTAGCATAAAATGTGAAGGTTTTCTGTGAGGGTGAATTTATCTGACCTCTTAGCTCAGCTGCAGTTCCCACTGTGCTGTCTCAACTTCTCATGGACAGCAAGGAACAGGAGGAAAGATTCCACTTTAAAAACACTTTGAGACATAAAAATCCATGAATGTGCCTATTCTTAATTATTTCTTAAAATAAAAATCCAGTGAAAACAAAAGTGACCATGAACCATATGGAAGGTTCTCTGCCCATGGCAGGTGGGTAGAACAAGAGAGCCTTTAAGCTCCATTCCAACCCAAACCATTATGAGATTCTATGGCTTTGTGATCATTTTATCTGTCCTTTGGGTAGGGAGGAGGGAATGTGAGGGAATTTGGGAAGAGGAGTCAATCCAGCTGAGAGCAGAGGTGCCAGCTTTGCTGCCTTTGCTCTGTTCCTGTCCCATCCCTGCAGGCAGAACATGGGAACGTGCTTGGAGAGGACACAGTCACAGCACTCTGCCTAAGAATCCCCAAAAATTCTTCATAAATGAGGGGCTAAACTGCCCTGGGGTGTGTGTGGTGAGTAGGGCAGAAAGCTCTCAGCCCTTTCTGAGCTCAGGTGCAAAGGAATAGCTCCAAAAATGCAGATTTTTAACATTTCCTGCTGGGAGTGCTGGGAATGCCTCTGCCCTGACCACACACACTTTGTCCTGGTTTTGCACTGATGTTATCTCATGTTTGGAGAGGTGTCCTCAAGCTCATCTTTCCTTTGCTTGAAGGGAAGCTGTCCCAATGGCCTCAGAAGCACCAAGTGAGGATGCAGAAGGTGCAGCTGAGCCTCCTGCAGCTCCTGTGCAGGGGAACAGCACATTCCAGTGGGGATCCATCCTTGCTGCAGTGAAGGACCAGCTCCCATCCCTGGACTCTGACTCCTCCACAGTAAGCACTGAAATTCTGCCTTTCTTCCCTCTGGATCATGAAAAAAAAAAAA